CAAAACAGGAAAGAGTTTATCTCAATAGCAAACAAAGCTGGAATTATCAAATTATTTCTCTGCTTAGGTAGCCTCAATATTTGGTTTTAGCTTTACCATAAATAAATAAATCTATAATCCTACAAAGTCATTCTTAACCACTTGAACTACTGGGGCAAAGCAGCAATTTCAGCAACTTCTAAAATTACAAGAAGGCTACCATTTAGAACATTTACAGTCACACAGAAAACTCAAAGTTAAATGGCCTGGCACTAAAAAGCTTCAAGATTACCATCAATTATGGTTGTACAAGTAAAAAATAGTGTCTTCTAAAGACTAATTCTGCTAAATGAAACCAGTGGAGTCTATTCCTTTTATTCAGAAGTACCATACTGCTAAATAGTCAAGTCCACAGGGAAATAGCATTTCAATAGCTGCAACTTGGTGCATCTGACTTTTGTTGGCCTTCCTTATCCAAGAAACATAGATGTCTCTATTTACTTAGCTCATCTGCCACAAGTGATAACCCGATGCCTGTGTGACTATTCAAAATTTTTTAAAAGTACTCTCCCTTTCCAAAATCTAACAGCAGAGATGAGTCCAATGGTTCAAGATCAAAAAGAACAGAACTTCAATGCTTCAGTAAAAAGCCTATGAACAAAAGAAACAAAGCTTTCAAGTGATCTAATGGTTCACCTTTAACACACTACCTAGTACCACTGCTGACAGCACCTGCTATGGTATCTGCTAATATTTTTTTTCAAATCAAATTGAAGTTCTAAATGCTTCATATTTAATTCTCACAGCAACCCTGTGAGATAATATTAATATTAATTCCACAGTGTGGATGAGGAAACTGGGGCTCAGGACAATGAAAAACACTCCCTAAGACCTTACCATTATTGAAAAGCCATGATGCAGAACACTGGCAACTTGTAGCCATAGTCCATAGTCTCAAAAGTTATACCAACTCTAATCCCATTTATCAGGAGGAAGAGTAACACCCTATTTTTTGGAACTATTTAAGTAATGGAAACAAATGGTTTACTTTAAGATATTCTAAGTACCCAGAGCTAGGGAGTTACACCAAATCAAACCAAGGGCCAATATCTACAGATAGATACTTATTATCTTAGTCATAATTCAAAACTAACATCACCCACATATATCCTGAGAAAACTCTGTCCTTAACTTCATCTGATTTTTAGTATTCTTTCTTAATGGATAATGCTTCATGGTAAAAGTAACCTAAAACCACACTTTGTGCTCCCTTTTTTGATGAAATTTTAAAGTTTAGTTATCGACTCTCACATGAAAGTATATCTGAACTGTGTCAGAAATCATCTCAGTGATTTTTAACATTTAATAGGATCCCTAGCATAATATCTAGCATAAAACCAGCCATGTAAACCAAATTGCCCTTTAGTAACAACAAATAAGACCAGATAAACAAAACTTTTGTTGTGACCTGATTCCTTTCCACTAATAACATAATACTGGAATCTTGTTTTTTCACAACTATACAAACACCCACAACTCCATTTCTCTCCTAAAGAAAAGCCTGTGTCATAATATAAAAACCAAACTTGTCTGTCTGGCCTCAAAAAGATCTTAGATATGTATATAGACTTTCATCCTTTTGAAATATCCCAAAGTGGTAGTCATATGATGACACCAAATCCTGTATCTGCTCAAGTTATGGCAGCCAACCATTGTTTTTATTGTTTCAACTAGTTAAAACAAAGCCCTAGTCATGTTTTAGAAATTTTGGCTGCTTGTAACTTGCATCCCTAGAGCCACAAAAAAAATTGAAATTTTAGGCATCAAGAACTAGATTCTAAAAAGGTTCTCTTCATCCACTGGATGAGTGCCTGAAGCAAAATAAAAATAAACATATTTATCATCAAAATACACAAGGATACAAACAATACACTGTGATGGTGACTCATAGACCTGACCCTCAAGAAACTTGTGTTTTAGCAGGCAAGATGACATCCATACACTAGTAATTACAGTACTAGGCAGTGTGTAACAAAGTATTAAAAAATTCAAATTTGTGTCTATAGTGTATAATAATTGTATTATTAATAAAGGTGGAAGCTACTGTCATTTCTCTGGGATAAATGCACAAAAAGTACCTGAAGGGAAACATATCTCTCATCTAGCTTTACACAACTGAAGAGGCAGCAAGCATATAAAAGGTGCAATAAAATGAGTATAAATTTCAGAAAATCTTTATATTAGTCCAAATGTCACAGTACAGCTAAATATTCAAGGCACTACAAAGTTTTGGTAGTGACCCTATGAAAACATTTTTCTGTAAATTTCTTCTAAAATCAATTTAAACTTTATTTTTCATAGCAATAATTTCATCACATGGTCTATGATGCAACAGAAGGAAATCAATCACCAGGTTTTTACTGTCCTCCTTTACTTAAAAACAGAATTCACCTACTCAGCTAGACTGTACAGTATTTTCGGATTAAAATAACATTTCACACCGAAGATAAGAAATGACATACTCCCAAAATATTCAGCTATGTTTTGCTATTTATTTTACTTTATAGTAAATTCTGTATATTCTATACATAGATACATTCTCAAAGATTTTGGTGTAACAATTTCCCATGTGAAGAAAAATGTGCAAAATTCACTTACGCAGTTCCCTCAAATTTGAAAAAATGTAACTTTATTTCATTTATGCAAAATGACCAAAAAGAGTTGTATTAATTTTTTTAGGATAAGAATTAAAATATATAGCAGACTCTACATTACCCTTTTACTTTTAAAAGAGTGATTATATCTACAACTCCAGTATTACCACTTAGACTTCTAAAGGCCTTTTATTTTGAAAACTTCAAACATTTTCCCATGCCTTATTTCAATATGATCTTTTGATTCTTGGATAATTTTCTTACCTGTTGTATTTACAGTCAATAGTTATTCAAAATGAACACAGGTCATCTGATATGACCACTCCAATTCTCCACTAAAGGAGAAAAATTCAGAAGGAAAATACAACAGATGAAGTAGCATTAATGAAAGTATATACAGGCATATACTGAAAATTCCATTAAAACAAAACAAAACAAAAACACCAGAAAAAATACAAATGGTATAAAAAATCATTTTTGCTTGGAACACAATTAACTAAGGTGAGAAACTAGGACAATACCAAACGATAGGAATGTTTGGGCAGAATGCAAAAAAAAAAGCAGAAATTGTATTATTAATAAATGTGGAAGCTAGGTGTTGATCCCCTCTCACACTCAAAATGGACAGAAGACGCAGCAAACAAAGTCCAGGGGAAGTGAGTCAGATGGTAGCCCTGAGGTCAAAGGAGTTCATTAAGTCTCATATATACTATGAAATAAATCTTGGGAGTCAATATCCACAAACTCAAGTGAGGTCATCTCAGAATATCATTCATAGAACAGCCATATTAAAAGATTAAACAATAACATTTGATTCATTAATCCAAAGATCACAATATTGACTTTTTCTTCTTAGAGTCTTAAAATGCGATTCATTTCCCAATGTTCACATTTCCCATTCCTGTTAAAGGAAACCACCCACTTCTTCACACATACATTAAATTACTCCAACTGGAGACACTGAACCTCAATTCCAGATTAAAAATAAATACTTAAAATAAAATACAGGACTCAAAACTCCTATTCTGGCTATCCATCATTTAGGAGAGCCCATAGTAGCAGGTCATTACAATTACAATACATTACATAACATGAAAAGTGAATACACAGCATGAAAAGAAGTGGGACTGGGGATCAAGATGATACTTTTTTGCTTAAGAGAAGTCAATCTTAAGCAAAAGAAATGGAGGACAAAACATAAGCTGTGTTGGACATAATTGCTTCTGTAACAATTTCATTTTCATCATTAATCTTCAGTTTTACATAAAGAGCTTTATTCCCACTGACCACAAAAATGTTATTATTGCAGTATGTATATGCGACCTTTCCAGTATGCCACATAAAAGTCTCATTTACTGACCTAAAATGGTTTAGGAAAGTATAAAACCGTTAAGTAGTTTGTAAAGCTAAAAAGAGCATAAACTAATGAATAACTGGGTATTTCAAACTCTGAATAATTCTTTCAACCAGATAGTATTAAAAGTCACTTTTCAATTTGAATGAACTGCCATTTTCTAAGACTTTGAAAGAGACAGAAAATGTTCTAAACCCTAAACACAGAAGCTCACACTAATTACTGCTAGTGTCGCTTTGGATCTGCAGGTGACAGATGCAGTCGGAGTTCACAGATGTGGACTGGCTGCAGTTTGCGTCTTATTGCAATAAGCACACTGAAAGACCCTGCAAATGCACATCTCCGCAGGAGAGCTTTTTAAAAAACCGTCATTCCCTATTCGATTTATTTTTAAGGCTCTTACTGGCTATTACTAAGCTATTATCCCTGCTCTCATTCTTACCCTATGCTACCCACAATTCGGTACCAGATCCTTATTCATCAAGCCTAATTTTGGTTCAGTAATAACAATGATAATAAACTGGGGCTGTTAACACTGGCAGCACCAGGCGCCCATGAAGCCGCTATCTGGGAGCCTTCCCGCTGGTGCAGAGGCCACTTGAAGTTTTCTGGGAAGCAACGGACCCCAAGCATCTTTGCAGGGTTCCTCTATTCCCAGGTTGAGGGGTCCACAGAGACAGACGGGGAACTCCCTTCCCGGTCTTTCCCAGCGGAGGCTTACCCCACACCCGACTCGATAAAGATCCTAGGCAGGGACGCCCCACCCCCACCCCGTTATCCCTAATGAGATGCCCCCAAATCATTCCCGGTCCTCCTAAGACTGGTCCCTCCCTCGGCCACCGGGCCAGTTTCCCACATCTCGCTCCTCTCCTCCAGTCCCCGCCCCCGCACACTCCACCCGCAGCGCGGCCCTGGCTCGGCACACGCCCGCCCGGCGACCAGACGCCCCGCGGCCGGCGCTGGGGCCGCCCAGTGGCCCGCCTCCCCCCGCCCAGGATCGCCGACGGGGTTACCGTGGGAAGACGGGGCGGCCGCAGAGGACGCGGCGGCAGCGCTGCTGCCGGTTGCGTCGGATGCGAAGGAGAAGCTGGAGCACAAGAATGAAGATGAGGCGGGCGCGCTCCCCAGTCTCCATGGAACTCCCGCCCCGGCCCGTTGCTAGGAGCCCCCGAGGCTCGGGCTCCGTCTTTCGTGCTTTGTTGTTCCGGGTACAGGGCGGCCCCTGCTTCCCCGCGACAATAAATAGACCAGACGCGGAGGAGCATAGAGACGGCGCGCAGGGGCTAGAGCGCCACCGGACAGGGCGCTCTGGGGCTCCTCGCTAGCCACTCATTTCCGGCTCTCTCTGCTCCCGTCACTTTTCCCCGCCCCTGTCCCCTTTCCCTTTTCCTCCTTCCTGGTACCAGAGTCCAGCCTCTCCTGACCTCAGGTTTAGCGAGGCTGGCGTGACATGGGGCGATGAGTGGTCTTTGGCCGGACTTTTTTTTTTTTTTTTTTTTAGAATCGCTTGAAAAGATTGTAAATAATCCGCATCCCTCGTATATTTTTAGTTGATTTCTAAACGTGTAATTTCTCGGTACTTTATACATAAATGGGCTTTAAATTTTTGTCAAACCTCAGAACTTTCTTGTCCGTTCAATTTATACAAAATGTCTTTCGTATCACGATTAAAGTAGTCTTTAACCACTAAACGATTCTGTCACTATTTTAGTCAAACGCGTTAATTTACGACGTCGCGGTAAAGCTCTTACTGAGAAATTCGAATCCTAGTCCTAAAAGAGAGCGGCAGGGGATGATGGAGAGAGAAAAATGGACGGATAACGAGGGAGCTTATGCCACTTCTGTCGCCTGTTCCTTCGATAGTCCTTACTCAACTTGGGTTTACGGTCCGAGCTCTCCCTCGGGCGGGGGCGCTGCGGAGGCTTTTGCGCCGGGTAGCCGGATGCCGGAGTGGGAGGAGGGAGAGCGCGGCTGCCGGCGGCGACCGGCGCTGCGCGGAAGCGGCGGATCTGGCCGGTCGGACTTTGGGAAGGTGCTCCCACTTAAGCGAGGCGCCTGGGGACTGAGACCCTCCAGCGGTTCTGCGCCCAGGAAGCCCTGCAGCGACCCGGGGAGCCCCGGGCGCACACTCGCCGGTTTGAACGGTCGCACCGGGACCCGAGTGCGATCTCGGGGCTCCTCGGGGGTGGCGGAGAGGAGCTGCCCGCGGGAACGAGACTCATAACGGCCCCGGGAGCGCCGCCGCGTGGAACCCCGCTCCCATGCGGGCGCGGGTCTCTGCTCCCCAGCTGGCCTGCAGCCTTTGATCCCGGCTGAGCCAATGGGTAGCCCCGATTTAATTATTAAAAGACCGTGCATGAGATGGATTCATAGGTGCCTGGCTTCCGATTGTTGTGAATCAAGAATGCAAATGGAAATGCCACTGAACATTTGAAGAAAACACAGGCAGAATTCTGAGGGGAGTTTGCAGCTACTGGGGTATTTAATTATTTATCGGATCTCCAAGGATACCTCTTGATCTTTTGCTTTCCACTGAGTGTGGAAAGCATTTTAAAGCTCTGTAGACCGATTGGATTTGTTTCGAAATCTAATTTTATTTTTGAGGAATATTAAGTAATTGTATCTTGTCTCAGATAGAATGAAGAAAATAAGAAACTGGGTTAGAAAATAATGTTTGTATTGTGCTTTTCAACCTATTTCTAAAAGAATGGGAGTTGGAAGGAAGCACATATAATGTTCCAGGCAGAGTGAACAGGATATGTGAGAGCTCGCTGTGCTGGGAAATTAGCATGGCTAAGGCATCTGGAACATGGGAGAGAGAAGAGTGACAACAGAATTTGAAGATACATTAGGACCTTGAAACCGGGCAGTACCCTGTAGGCCATAAGAAGAGTTTGGGTTTTCTTCCAAGTGGTAGGAAAAGTAAGGTTGTAAGGTAAAGAAAAATATGACCTATTTACCAAGGCAAAGGCAGGAGCAGTGGAATGCTCTATTCCAGTAACTATTGCCACTGCTGAAAAGTCCATTTTATAATGATGACCTATTCCAAAGCCCTTACAAGGCACTGTCCTTTAAGGAGACCAGCAACAAGATGGATAGAAGCATGCCAATTTCTTTAGATTCCCTTTTTTCATGGATAAGTCAACCATTTTCCTCTCTACCATAGTTTCTCATTATGGAATTGAATGTAGTTTCACTGCAAACACCATTTTAATGTGTTTAATTAATAATAGACTTTGTGAATACTTGTATGCTATCACAGTATCCCAACACTATTTCTCTAACCAAGAAATTCACTTCAAATGAAAGAAGTAAGACAAAAGTTCATGGGACTCATTGCTTTTTTAAAGTGCCCCATTATTCATATGCTAGGTAAGAAACAATGCAGTCTAAAGTAGAATACACTATGTTCTAAGGCTCTAGATTAATATAGAAGTTGACATCTGGAAATGGGTAGATGGAAGGTCCAGTTCTAACATGTAGAATTGGCTTAACCAAGGTGCATTTGTAATGGTGAGGAGTCATCCATCTAGGCTAGAAAAATAGCAAATATTTTTGGTTATTTCAGTGCTATTGAAAATGTAATATACAGACCAAAGCCAATCTGCAAGCCATAGTAAGCAGCAATGTTATGAATATAGAAGATTCCTAAAACTTTTAACAATTTGACATTACAGTGGCATCCAAGAAAGCAATTTTCTATTTATGAAAGCATTGGTGATGGGTTGGTAACTAAAAAACAACAACAACAACAAATGAATCCTTTACCATAGACAGTTTGAGACACTGGTACATTATTTGTTATACTCAGTAAAGATCTAGCTTTTGGGAACATGACAAAAAAACAAAACCAAAACAACAACAAAAACAACAGGCTGTTAGGCTGTTGGGAAATGTCGACTGCTTCTTGTCTCCCTTAGTGCTAAGAGGCCTGTGATTCAGCATGGCTTTTCCAAAAAGAGACAGGCAATAGTGGGTAAAAATCATATTGCATTGTTCCGAAGAGTTCTTGCTGCCAGTAGGTTAGTTATCCTATCCTGACATTATGGTTTGGATGTGAAGTGTCCCCCAAAAGCTCACATGTGAGACAGTGCAAGAAGATTCAGAGGAGAAATGATTGAGTTGTGAGAGTCAACCCAATCAGTAAATTAATCCCCTGATAGGTATTAACTGAGTGGTAACTGAACTAGTAAAGTGTGGCTGGAAGAGGTGCAAATTAGGACATGGCTTTGGGATATATATATTTGTAACTGGAAAGTGGAGACCTCTCTCTGCTTCCTGATCTCATGTGAACTGCTTCCCTCTGCCACACACTGCCATGATGTTCAGCCTCACCTCAAGCCCCAACAAATAGAACTGACCTTCTATGACTAAGACCTCTGTGAGTCCTCAAATAAACTCTTTCTCCTCTGTAACTGTGCTGGTTAGGTCCTTTAGTCATAGAAGAAAAAAAGGATAAGGATCAGATATCTGTTCTGCCAGTCGGAATAACTAAACTTTCTGCCTCACATAAAGTTATTACATTAAGTATGAGAATAAAGAGTATAGAGTCAGGGATGCCTTGTTTCTCAGGATTCTCCCCAAACATTTTCTGTTATGTTCCTTCACCATAAAGATAATTCTTCCCATTTTGTCACTTGAGGGTGAACAACTTAGGGATGGAGTCTGATGCTATGACCTGGCTTTATAACCCAAACATGTTTTCTCCTCCTCCCCTCAGAGAATCTGTGACAAAAGTCACTGAACTAAGATCTCTCAAAGATTATCAAAAGTTGCCCGGCTAGTTTCAAAGAGGTAGAAACAGGAAGGACAAGGTCCATATTCAAAGCTCATTTCTCAGTGAGATTTTTGATAAGAAGCTAATGGATTTCCCCAAATGACTCTGATTGGCAGCCAAGTGAACTTTTAAGGTATGACAGAAAGTCTTCAATCTGGAAAAAGTTACTTACTATTGAACTTTCTCAAAGGCGATATCCCAGGCTTCAGATCTACCATGTCCATCCTTCTTACTACATATCTAAGGCAGTGTCTTTGAGACAAGGGGAAATCTTGGAATTTTGATGGAATAACCAAAGATCTTAGTTGTCTGCTGGAGAAGTGCAGTCTTTCTTTTACTGTTCTTGCCTAGCAGGATATGGAATATCCTTACCATCATTGCATGCTGTTTTTCCTTTTCCCTTTTCTTATTAGTTTTTGTCCTGTTTTCCCCTACTTCTCATATATTTGTGCACTAGTGATAATTTTACTAATTATCATTTAGCCTGATCTGGATCTGATCAGAATTGGCAGTACTTGAAGCTCCCAAATTTGGGGCATAATTCAGTAGCTGGATGTGACTGAGTTTTCTACTATTACTGTAGTAGGACAGTTGCATATATTTGAAATGGCAAATGGAATAGTTGATTTATATTAAGAGGAACTATAGATATAAGGCAAAGATGTGTGTGTGTATGCACATATGTGTCCTTTTGTGTGTGTGTTCATACATGCTTTGAGCAGCCAAAGAGTGAAATGTAGGGGAAACTTTTCTTTATTAGCCTAGAACTCATCTCCTTTCTGGGAAGAGTGAGTGTTCTTCTCCCATATAGCCTAGAACTCATCTCCTTTTTGGGAAGAGTGAGTGTTCTTCTCCCATATTTTGAGGAGCTACTTCTCTCTGCCTAGCCCAAACTGACTACAGTGTCCTTGGTGATTATAGAAAAGTATGTTTTTAATCTAAGTTGGGCCAACTATATAGTATCCTGCTATAATTGATTTATTGCCTATCATTTCCAAATTCATTGTTCTGTGAATATGGATCTGGACTCTTAAGTTCTCTTAGTAAAGAATGCTGGCTAAACATTGAAATAAGAAAGTTCTAGCATGTCCATCAGACAGGCTTCTGCAATAAAGAAGTCCTATCTAGAATCCACCTTCTGTAGCACAAGTGGTTTTCCCAGCCCTATTCAGGGGTCTAAAGGATAGTGGTAAAGGAAACTTCTATTTGGCATAATTCAGAGTGTTTGTCCAGCATATCAAGAGTGAGAGATCCAGAATTGGCAGTTGCTAATGAGTTGTTAATAAGGTTAAGTCTTAGGAGGAATGGGATTGGAAAGTAAGTGGCAAGGAAGTCTGGAGAAAAGGCAGACTTCTTCAAATAGGTGCAAACTGTTAAGATATTTATGTTCTAACTGAAGACACACCAAAGGTATACGTTGTAGAGGAGACTGTGGATAGAATGGCACACCCTGAAGATGTCA